CCCCCCACATGCATACATACAGTATATATATATATTAGGGCTGTCAAAGTTAACATGATAATAACGAGTTAATGCAACTTCCTTTCAGTGCTGCAAATTTTTTGACACACTATTAATGCACACACATTCTTTGATATAGACAATATGTCCCACTGTGGACTGATGAATAAGTCTGTGAGACGACTCTGTGGCCCTTTCCAGCTACATGCAGATCAACAACTCCTGATCGTAGACTCACATCAGCTGATGCTGCTTGTGAACAGCACACTGACGCTGTCTGAGTGTTTTTAAGTCAAGGTCGTTCTAAACTACACCTCCTTCTCATGTCATTGACTGGACTCCAGGTTTGCTAACACCTGACTCCAGCTGACAGTTAGTGACATCAGAAGCCTGGTGTTGCATGGCTTTGTCCAAAATCACTGTGTGTGTTTAATGGGACTGTTCAATAAAGACATGAAAGATCAGGACTGTTTGTGTTTTATCAGCTTAGAAATATGTTTGTTGATGTTTGTGACTTTGGTGAAGATCTGATCCCATTTCATGACCAACTTATGGAGAAAACCAGGAAACCTCAAACAGTGCCATGACTTTATCTTGTTGGTTACAGTTTTAAAAACATGCTTTCTTTTGAGTTGTAAGATAAATTAAATGATTCAAGATTTTGATTGTTAAGACTAAAGGCAATTTTAAGACATCACATGAGGAGTGAATTCTACTTGTACTTTGCTCTGAAGCACCAGACCAGCTGGGTCAGTAAACCTGTACAGTTTGCACAACAAAGACGTCACAGATTTACCTCCGTTTGCTGTCACCAGATGGGGAGGCTTGGCGTGCAGATCCTGATTTGGCCGCCTTACTGCTGATGAACTCTTCAGTCAGATTGCATCCATGCAGGACGTCTGTGTAGCGCCTCTCTGCAGCCTGTTTGGCATTCCTCTGGTACCAAAGCACACAGTAAGAGAGCTGGTGTAGGTAAAGGACTCCCCCCCCCCCGCCCCATCCCATCAGAATGGGATATATATACACACTGTATATATAGTCACAAAAAATAAACATATAACTTACATTTGTGTTAAGGCCTGGTATTCTGGAGGTACACTTGGCCTGTGGAAATACATGGAAAACGTGAAATATGAACTCACACACACACATATACAGTATATATCACAAATATTACAAGTAAAGGTATAACTTACTTCTTTTTTGGATCCTGGGGTGTTGCAGTTACATTCTGAGTGTGTAAATTCCTGAAAAATATGGGAAATCACCAAATGAGAGTAGTCACACACTCTCTCTCTCTGTGTAAACTTAAAACCTCAAGTCTGAGGCATCTCAGGCCACAAACTACACAGTGTTGTTTGGGTGCCTGTATTTGTACTTCACAGCCTAGACTCTTGTCAGCAAAATTACAAAGCACATGTGATCGTGATAAACATTGGTCTAAATAGGTGTTATCACAACACTATGTCAAAATGAGGACCAAAATGTCACTGTGCTGCCTAAACCGCCTCAGCTGTGCCTCTCCTCCTACTTATTTATTTATGGACCGGAATATACCAAACACACCAATTAACAGTTAAAGGGGTAAATTAATCCAGATGAGGCAAAGCTCATTTAAAAAATACGCATTTAACAACTCTGATGGAAAATGTAAAAACCTGAGCAAAAACCTAAATCAGCTACTGTTGCCTTTTAGGTCAACTAACAGCAAAGTCAGGGTAAATCTATGTACCATCGATTTGGGCAGTTGGCTGATATTTGATGCACCCTGTGAGTGCACTCAGTTTCATAGTGAACTTACACAACAGTGTTGAAAATTTTCATCACGCATCCGAGGTCATCGTTTATGTTGCTATCAAGAAATTCTGAAAAGAGAAAGAGTTTTCTGGTTTATGGAGATGATACAAAACACTTTTCCCAAATAGAAAAGAGGAAAAGGACATTCCTAACATTCCTGTTTAGTATCACGTTAACACACACACGGCTGGTACACTAAGTGAGTTGCTAGCCAGCTCACCCACTTCAAATGTTATCACGTCATTAAATGGCCATTGCCATCAAGACCCAAGATGGGGTTAGTTGGGCCCTATTCCACCTCCCAGGTGGCTCAGTAGGCCATTGGCATGTGCCAGATGTTTGTCGCCATGGTTACAATAATAAACACTTTAGTTGGTTTAACGCTTTAAATAAATAATAATTTAATAAAGCCACCAACATTATCGGTTTGAAGTGGGAAACAAATCTCCAGTTTGGAGGAGTTTTGTTGTCCCACACACCCATCTACCTTCATCTCCACCCTACAGAATGTGTTTACATGACTAGCAGTGACTTTTGCTCCTGTCATAAAACCTACAACTAGTATACTGTAGATCACCTAATTATATTGATGATATACACCATCTGATACAGTAGTAGGTGCAGTTTGCACATACTGAAGCTTAATTATGGGCATGATAACAACTGATAATGGTCATTTAATGGGATAGTAACATTCAAAACAGCTTTGCAAGCTACATCTGTATGTAGGCTGTTGGGGGAAGAATAAAAATGGACTGCAAAAATACTTCAGTGGCCAAATTTAAGCAAATAATTCCACGTAAAAATGAGCTCTGTTTTCAGTCTGCATACACCTTCACAACTGAGACAATGACAATGACATGTAGATGTAAACAAGCTGAAACTGAAACTCACTGGAGCAGTTTGTCCCACATAAGTTCAATGAGTAGTTTGAACAACTGCCATTGACGCAGGTTACGCCATCGCTGAGTTGGAAAATACCATGGAGACTCTCTTCAGTCGGTAGATACTGGCCGGATTGGTTTTGGGATGGTGTAGAGTTGGTGGTTGGAGGATTTGGACTGTCTTCTCCTTTCAAGAGGTGGGCTGAATTGGAAACGTTATACACTGTGTGGGGGTTTCTCATCATTGGTTTTGTCTCCAGGGCACTGGTGTCAAACCCTGCGCTGACCTCTGCGTGACAGACGACTGAAGGCCGGAGAGAAACGAGAAAAAGAAAATGACAAATCATGTCTAAATGGCACACATTTTGAGCCACACCTTCACAAAAGCCTATTGATTTGCTGAGGGATGTTCATAGTCTCCAAAGGACGACTCCGGATTTTATGACTCCCCTAATCTTTTCACTAGGACCCACAGGGGTCTTCTAGTTGGAGGTGTTGACTCATAGGATGACACCCTGAAAAGGTCTGACCTCCATTGTTAACCCTTGTGCTCTGTTAATGGCCTGGTTCAGAGTGTGTAGTAACACGCTGTCTTTGTTGTCGTAAGCCATCAGTGAAAGCTAACACACCTGTAGAAATTGTTTGCATCAGCTTTCGGAGCTTTGTTTAATTTCACTGCTGGAGAAAATCTAGAAGTTAAGTGACAGATATTCAGTCCAGGTTTTCAGGTTTTCAAGCTTTCAAACCAACAAATATTTATTCCGATGGATAGATAAATAAATAGATAGACTACATTACTTACGCTTGGCCACGAAATCTTCTCCAGTCAGTCCATTCTGTTTTAACTGAGCTGGCTGTTTAGCCAATGCCTGCATTATTTTGGTCCTCAGGCTACATTTTGAGTATAGCCGCCCTTCGGCCAGACTGCAGCTCAGCATCACCAGCAGAAACACCACAAGTACCTTCATGTCTTCAGCTATCATTTCTTACTTTGAAAACATAGGCGACATGATATATATACTTTTGTGTGTGTGTGTGTGTGTGTGTGTGTGTGTGTGTTCAGGTAAAGGCCACTCCCTTGACTTCTAGAAACAGGGCCCTAAAAATGCACAAAGCTGTATCATATCTTAGTGTTGGGTGTGAGCTCCAAAGAGGTCTGGGAAGTAAAAATGAGAAAAAACATCTTTTGTCTATACCAGGCTACACCTTGGTCCTGTTCAAAAGACAGTGCGCTAAACCCAGATAAAATGACACAGTTTAATTTCTCACATCACCATAAAACTTTTATATTTTTGGCAGATTGTGTGTCAGCATTGACAGTGTAACCGAGCTGAATAGAAAGTGTGTTAAATATGATGCTCTTGGTTTCCTGAGTGCAGCTATCATATTAAACCCAACAAAAGAAAGAAAAGGAGCCGCAAAAACAGCAACATGAGTAGAGCAACAGAAACTTAAAGAAACCTAATTTTCAGTTTCTTCATAAAAAAATCTCCCCCCATCTCTAAGATTTTATTGCAGAGAAAGTGAGAGAAGGAAATAATTTGCCTTAAACAGTGTTCTTTGGTTACTGTGTCAATAAACTCACTATTAACTTATAATATGTCAGCAGGTAGCAAAGGTATTTATAGGGGAAGTGGTACAGATTAGGTCAAATACAACCAAGAAGTAACCTGGAATGATGATATGGGGCAGTGTGTGCACCTTCCTCAGCCTCAGGTCCGTTACCAGAGGCCTGGCGGTCTGGGGGTTCTGTGCAGTGTCTTAGCTGTACTTAGCCCTGCACTGGGCAGAGAGCGCTGATGATTTTGGGATCTGATGGGGCCACTCTTCCAGTTTAGGAGTCACAGCTCCCAGTGCTCCCACCACCACTGAGACCACTTTGGCCTTCACCTTCCACATCCTCTCCAGTTCCTCTTTCAGGCCCTGGTACTCCTCTATGTACTCATAGTTCTTCTTCTGGATGTTGCTGTCACTTGGAACTGCTATGTCCTCCACCACTACCTCCTTCTGTTCCTTGTCTACCACCACAGTGTCTGGTTGGTTGGCCAGTACCTTCTTGTCTGTCTGGATCTGGAAGTCCCACAGGATCATAGTCCTGTTATTGTCCGACCTTGTGAGGAGTCTCCCATCTGGACTTGAGACGGTCTAGCTCAGACCCAGCACAGATGTTCCTGTACACAGTGCCAGACACTTGGTTGTGCTGTTCCTGCCTGCATTTTACATGCAGACAGGAACTATGTGTTGGACTATGTGTTGCCACTATGTGTTGGACAATCTCTGAGGCCTCTTTGCACAGTCTGCACCTGTGTCCTGTCTGGTGTGGTAGAGCCCTGCTTCGGTTGACCTGGTACTTAGTGCCTGTTCTTGTGATGCTATGATCACTGTCTGATAGGCCGGCCTTTTCCAGCCTCTGGTAGGATTTCCCGGCGTCAGCCATCTCAGCTATCTGTCGGTGGTACATCCCATTCAGGGCCTTATTCTGCCATGGCGGGTCCTCTGGTAGGTCTTCAGCCCCAGTCTGTTGCTGTCATGTCAGACATCCTCTCAGCAGCTCATCTCTGGGTGCCATCTTGCTGATGTTCTTCTGGATGCTCTGGTTTTCATCCAGGACAGTGGCCTTGACACTCACCATACCCCGTCCAGACTCTTGTTCCATTGTACAGTTCCACTGTACAGTCCCATTGAGTTCTTGATGAAGGTCATCAGTGTCCTGTTGACTCTGTACAGTGCCAGGCATTTCTGGCACTGTACAAAGTCAACTGGTCTCAAAGTCAACTGAGTCTCTGGTGTTGTTCCCAATGCCCTTCTCAGCTGTGCGTATATACTTGGCAGCTATGATGCCTGATAGGATGTTCCATGTTGTGGAGAGGCGGGTTATTGGTTGATAGTTGGATGGTGTTGTTCTCTTGTGGGTCTTTCATGATCAGCACTGTCCTTCCTTGCGTTAGCCAGTCTGGGTGGGAGCCTGCTGCTAACAGTTGGTTTATCTGTGATGCTAGGTGTTCACGCACTGCTGTTAAGTTCTTTAGCCTGTAGGTGTGGATCATATCTGGACTGGGCGCTGTCCAGCTCTTGGTGTTCCTGACTCATTGTTGGATGTCTGCTACAGTGATGGTGACTGGTTCCTGTTCTGGGAGATTCCTGAGGTCTACTCTCTGGTCCTGCAGCCACTGCACACTGGTGTTATGTGTCTTCTCTTCCTATCATATGGTCTTCCAGTTCTGTTCGGTTTCTGCTTTGGCTCTGCACCCACTGTGTTGTTGCACTGTAGCTGGGAGTACAACTTGGATGGTTCTTTGGAGAACAGGGCATTTGCCCTTTTAGCCTCTGTCTCTTTGGTGTATCTCTTTAGCCTTGCTGCAAGTGCTATGAGCCTTTATGTAGCAGTCTCCAGAGCCTCAGATGGTTCCAGTCCCTTGTATTTTTTTCAGTAGCCTTTTCTTATTCTTTATCTTCACACCTTTCTATAGCTCCACCAGCTGACCAACTTCTTGATCTTAGCTTCTAGGTTCATTTTCCATTTTTTTTTTCATTGTGTAGCCAAACAGCTGTAGCATTGTCTGAGTTATGGTGGTAGTAGGGATTGTCGTGAGGGCTTTGTTGGCATCTGCTAACTGTCTGATGATGCTTCCCCACTAAGCCTTGGCAATCAGACTCGGGGGTTAACTGTAGCCAGTTTATCCATTATTCTCTGTCTCATATCAGTGGCAGTGCCTTCTAGTGGAGGGGATGTGGTGAAGGAGGATCCAGTTTCTAGTGTTGGTTGCACATCCAGTTGTTCTTCAGAGTCTTTTTTTGCCCGGGTTGTAAAGTGTAGTTGGTTGATCTCCAGCTGTGATCCAGCAGTTGGTCCTATGTACTATTTTGAATTGATTTAAGGCATATCTGATGTGAGCTGGAGTACAGTGTATACTGTTATGAATTACCTGGACTCCTCCCCCTGGAGCTCTAGTTCCTAGGTTGTTCCCAGTCTATACTGTTATGAATTACCTGGACTCCTTCCCCTGGAGCTCTAGTTCCCCGGTTGTTCCCAGTTTGTTGTTCCACACAGTGTGATCTTTCTATAGAACACTGTATCAAGGTTATGCCAGGCTGATCAGGATCTCATCTAAGATTACATGTCAGGGCATGTGCTTTTATTGAGGGATATTTGACCCCAAGTAGTTTTCATTAAATTTTGGAAAAATATGTGGAAGCTCTACTCTTGTCTTTCGAGGTAGTGAAACTGGATCAGTTAAAACAGGTTGAAAGTGTCTTAAAAACCATTTGTATCATATTTGCTATGCGAGTTTCTGAGCAAAAAAAAAAAATTGCCAAAAATTCCCCATGTTTCAAATG